TGATGAGATACACTCTTTTCTCAGACACAAAGGGTTTTCTCAAAGGTTTGCTTATGCTTCTACTGCATAACAAAATATGGTTAAAATTCACTTTCCTTCTGAATGCTCTTCCTCTCATTTCAGTGACAACTGGAAAATGTTGCTTTGTCAAATATATTTTTATTTAGTCAAAAAGGTCTATTCCTAGTATCCCTCTCCACTGTCTGTGTTCTTTTCATTGTTTTAATACAAGGTATTAGGGACAGTGCATCCTGATGTGGGTCTCTGATGTGACGAGGGAGTGATCTTCAGATATGGAGTTACTCTAATATTTAGAGATGAGTTTTTACCAGCTATGAACGTTTTGGGGACAGCCTGTCAAGATCCCTCTGAATAGCAGCCCAGCGTCCAGCAGATCAGCTGTTCCTCTTGGCTGGCACCCATACCAGATCCAATGTGAAAGGATGGGGGTTTTCGCAAACGTACCCCAAGTGTTATAACAGGTGATCAAATGGTATAATCCACAATTAAGTCTCAGGGTCTCTCAGAAAAACAGAATACTCCCAACTGTTGAACCATCAAATGTATTTACCATCAAGCAGACAAAGGCCCAAGAAAACAGGCTAAGGATGAAACCTCTAAACACTGCTCCCTAAAGATGGAAGAATAGTTACATAAGAAATAATTGCAAAAGGATTTCCTCACTTAAAAAGAAAACACAACCTGTATAGGGCAAGACATCAAAACGGTTGATGAGAAGCTCAACCTGAGCCGGCAGTGTACGCTGGCAGCCCAGAAAGCCAACCACATCCTGGGCTGCATCAAAAAAAGTGGGGCAAGCAGGTCACAGGAGGTGATTCTGTCCCTCTACTATGCTCTTGTGAGATCCTCCCCCCAGAGTATTCCATCCAGGGAGCCCTTGGCACAGGAGGGACATGGACCTGTTGGAGCGAGTCCAGCGGAGGGCCACAGAGATGCTCAGAGGGCTGGAGCACCTCTCCTGTGAAGACAGGGTGAGAGAGCTGGGGTTGTTCAGCCTGGAGAAGAGAAGGCTCCGGGAAGACCTTTTAGCGGCCTTCCAGTACCTGAAGGAGGCCTACAGGAGAGATGGGGAGGGACTCTGTATCAGGGAGTGTAGCGATAGGACAAGGGGTAATGGTTTTAAACTGAAAGAAGGGAAATTTAGCTGAGATATTATGAAGCAATTCTTTAGTATGAGGGTGGTGAGACACTGGAACAAGTTGTCCAGGGTAACTGTGGATGCCCCATCCCTGGAGGTGTTCAAGGCCAGGCTGGATGGGGCTTTGAGCGACCTGCTCTAGTGGGAGGTTGGAACCTGGTCTAGGGGGTTTGGAACTAGATGATCTTTGCGGTCCCTTCCAACCCAAACCATTCTATGAAAACCCCCAGTAGTCCTGGAAACCATAACCCTGGGAGGAAAAGATGTACCAGTCCTAACTCCCTTATCCTGGGAAAGAAAATAATACCCATCAGGCAGAAAGAAAATGAAACCATAAAGATTTGCTTAGAGGAATGGCAAACGGAGGCAGAAGAGTTAAATGTTTGAGAGGTGGAAGTCAAAGCTCCTGGAGAGGTGGTAGCTTACATATGCAGAGGCTCGACACAAGAATGCAAGAAAGGGGTAAGAGACCCAGAAGAACAGCTGCAAAACAAAAAGTAAAGAGGCAGCATCTTTAATCACCAACACTGTCACACGAAAGCAGAAGGAGCTGGAACATGTCCCAAGATGTAGTAAAAATTGGATTATAAAGAAAAATCAACATAAAGAACATGTTCAAACTTAATTAATAGATGTAATCTTGATGAATCTATAGAGGAAGGGTTTCAGCAGTCAGAGTTAAAGCCAGACTATAAAAACCTAGTAGCCTCGGTAGGCCTTTTTGTTTTACAGGGTGATTGACGGACAGTCAACTTGAAAAGCAGCAGCACAGACCCAGGGACAGAACTGGTTTCACTAATGTTCTTTTAAGCAAATGTGTAAATACCAGAAGGAATCTAGGAGGGCTATCAAGAAGGTAAAGAGTTTAAAGAAGTGGGAAACGAATTAAATGCTATCAGCACTCAAAGTATCAGTAGTTAGCAGTACAGCATATCAGTAGCTAAAGGCTGAGAAGATTGTGGGTTAAGTCTCTGTATACAAAGGTTTGAGGTCTGAAAGTCACAGTAAATAGTACAATATTAAGATTTAACCAGAACAGAAGAAATACCGAAGGAAAATTGCATAGGTACATATGGCAGGATACTAATTTCTCTCCAATAACCACACTTAACTGATATATTCTTTTGTTTATGAGAATTAACTTTATAAAAATAATGATCTTAAGTAATGAACCCTATAATTAATGTATTATGTATGATTAATTTCCTCACTTGAAAGAAAAGGAAGGAAAAAGAAGATGGCAAAAGCTGTGTATAAATATATCAGCTGCTGATTTAAAATGCAGTGTAAAGTTTCTCTGTTTATCGTAGAGAACACAGGGAAACAACTGATGGAGGAGTGGAAAAAAACGACCCAGTACACTGGAAGCTCCTATGATAGGAAATGTCTGGGGAACAAAGATCACTGTCAATAACAATCTTATGTGAATCTTGTCTTCTACTAGAAATACAGCAAATTAAGCACCTCATGCCAATCCCATAGCTACTGATCTATGTATGTTATGTGTATGCAAATTTGTGTTTATTTATGAGTATCCCTCTATGCATTTACAATAGATACTGCAAAATGTTGGGAGAGATTGAATTGCTAATGAGCTCACACTAACCCTCCTATGAGATCTGGATCTAATCACAAGATCTTCAGTATGTCTGCTATCTTCTTCACTGCGTCACCAGTAAGACTGACAAAGGGTTTGTAAAATAGTCAAGAAATGAATACATTGCTAAAGTCAGTGAAGGGTCATCATTCATGAAGGTTATGAATGATAGAATATCTTTCAGTTCTGTGCCTACTGGACATCTAAAAAGAAAATGTTTTTCTTGAGTGGTACCTTCAAGACCAGAGGGCTGCTACATGTGAAAATACATCCAGTTGTAACATTGTTTACACTAACTGTTAAATGCTGTGCATGTTTACATGTGGTGTACCTTCTGTTGATGACAACATCCTGTCACGGGATGGACTCACTCAACAGCACGTGGGAGGCAAGAGCAGGTGTTGCCACATCACTGCCTTGTCAGTGGCTGCAACGGAGTTGGCAGATGCGGTAGAAGCACTAGTCTCCTTGGTTCTTCCATAAAGCCCAGCATCCAGATCTGCTATGGGTTGTCATTTAGTCTATCTTGCCCATGGCAGTGGTCCAACTAGTTTTGGAGTCCACACATCTGGTTCATATCTCTCCAGTCTGGCCACAGGGATATTATCAGACACCATGCTGAAACCTTGCTAAAGCGAAGGTAAACCACCAGTATCACTCTGCCTTCATCCACTGAAATAGTCCTCCCATCATCTCACAATAGTCAGCTTGACCAGGCACAATTGGTAAATCTATGCCAGCTGTTTCCAATCACCTTTTGTTCTTCACATGCCTGATAATGGTTTCCAGAAGGATTTATCCCTTAATTGTCACATGGTCTGAGTTGTGGTTGATCATCCTTCAGCTCCCTGAGCCATCATTGCCCTTCTCGAGAATGAGCATGACATTTGCCTTTTTCCAGCCACCAAGGACTCTTCCTGATTGCCGTGACCTAGGCACCCGCAGCTCAACCAGCCATTCCTACCTCTCTCCATTGAGACCAGAAGCATTTTGCTTAATATTAGTCTCCATTTGGGAGACTAAGATTAAGGCAGTTGCCTTTCCTGCCCATGACATTTGGCTGCCCCTCCTTCTTTTTAACCAGTTCCACGCTGTCTGTCCTTGATCACTTCATTGCTTTAGAGACTAAGCAAATCCTGAGCAAATGTGACCTTCAGGGGGACATGCAGCAGAATGGGATTATTCAAGAACTCTTCTGGCGTGGTTGAGAACAGAGTTGGCAGTTAAACTTCAGGTCTGCTTGACAACAGATGCATCTTTCATATCCGTAACTATGCCTATGTGTGAGTGTATGCCTGCAAGTATTGGCCAATGGAACAGGAACAGAGAGTAGAAGAGGTTGGTTGAAGGAGGTACAGTAAGTCCTTTCACCCAGTTATTGGCAGTCCAGGGCAGCACTTCCCAAGCTACTCTGCTTGGGAACCTCCAGCCCCGCAGTTGGGAGCTCCTTTGGTGGCTCCAGGAGACTTAATCCACCCAGGACCAACCAGGACGTGTGTCTGGCTGCGCAATGCAGGAGGGTGGACTTGCCGTGGTCCCTCTTGCTTACGGGTTTCATCCAAACAAACCGAAGCAGGTTGCCAGCTACCTCGACTTCAAGGGGCCGAGCTGAGGGCACATGGGAAACGGCTGGAGAAAACGGGGGATCTGAGAGGAAATGCTGCCAGCAGCTCGCCCCCATGCTGGGAGGTGTTCACACACAGAAAATCATCCAGAAGAAACGATAGCTGTAACCATGACAATGTCAGTAGCGCGGCACTAGCAGGGCTTCCTCAGGGATTAACACTTTTCCCCACCAAGAGCATACCTCTCTTTTTTTTTGATGTGTGCTGTTGATTCCAGTGGTAGTCCACGTTTGTTTTATCTTCCTCAAAGCAGAGCTACCTGAGAAATGGCTTTCTCTGCAAATTGCTTAGGCAGGACTACCTGTGAAGTGACAATATTTTTACAGAGAGCCTGTCCCAGCACATGCGCTTGTGGAGCACTCTGTACTACAATGTCACCCTAATCCCCCTCCCTCGGATGTCCCTATCATTGCTAGGAACTGCTGTTGACAAAAAAACAAAGTTGCTTCATTTCACTGAGCGCACTGCTATTTCCTTAGGTGTGACTCAGAGCCTTTCAGTGAGGTGTCAGCGTGTGCCATTTGCTAGAAATAAAATAAAACATTAATTAATTCTGCTTTTTTTTCTTTTTTTTTTTTTCTTTTTTTTTAATATAAATTTTTGTTTTTTCTTGCTCCAGGTCACAAGTGAGGTGCACACAGAGCAGAGCTCAGAGAAGCTGCTCCTGACTGTGCATGAGGACCTGCTTCTGACAGCAAGAGCTTCATGGAAGGGCTGGTCACTAACGAGCATGATCCTGGTGGAAGAAAAGGAAAGGGAAATTGTGAGCACTGAGCAGCCCGACAGGCTGGCAGGCCTTTCACACTACCTACTCAGTGCCCATATCAGCCAAGAGAATTATTATTATTGTTATCATTATTTTGTAGAGCTCATCTTTATGCTTCTTCTGTCTGGGTCAACAAAGAACAAGCTGTATCACTGTCACCCCTAGAAAGCACTACAGTGCTCTTTCAAAATATATGAAATTGCAGTAATAAGCATAAAGAATAGTACTCAGCATCTGACACAATGACTGATGTAAGCTGTCAGCCAATATTTGACTTTCCAGGTGAGATTAGATTTAGCATTTAATTTAAAATAAACAAAAAGCGTGCAGTACAAGGCACTTACGGGCTTGTGCAAGTTAGAGGCTACTTAAACTTTAAGATATCTCTGCTCCTTTTGAGAGTATCATCATATTATCCAGTGGAGTTTTAAAATCCTGATTATTACTGTGAATTTCCTTAGAGAAGGACACAGGAAAGGTAAGTTTCTGCTGGTAATTCTTTATTTCCTGTTGAAAAAGCATAGTAAATCTTGTTCTGGATCAAAGAAAAAGCAGAGAGATTTTATTTTTAAAAAGTTTCAAGACGATTCGCATTTGGATTTTCTTAGAGCTTGCTTACTTTCATTAGATCACCTTTATCCCCTATGTTTGAGTGTGTGTGAGTGTATAAATATATGTGTAGCTCTGTCCTTCTGTATGTACGTGCCTGTTCTGTGCATGCTGATACTGCAAGGCTAGTCCAACAACCAGAGGAAGGTAGGTTGCTGAACTGCGGTTCGAGAGACACCGCCATTTCTTACTGGTGATGAAAATCCACCACCGCTTACCATGGGCTGCAGCAAAGCTCATCATTGCTTGAAGATTGCACTGAAATCGAGAGGCTTTTTGTGGAGGCTTCGCCACACGTTGCAGGGCTTGATGGGCCTGCAGCACTGAAGGAGAGGCGTGATACAGGAGCATCAGGCTGAAAGGCTGCACCAGGCCCTTTGCTTTTTGCAGGCTGTGAGTCAGTCAGACCCTCCTCTTTGTGCAGGAAAGGCAGAAAAGGATGGTGGCTTTTCTCAGAGCTTCTTGAGGGCTACTCCCTCAGCAGGGAAGGCAGCGTGCCTCAACTCCTGGAACGTAGGTCACAGAGGGGCCGCACTCACTGGATTTCACCAAAGATTATTTGGCTTCCCGCAGACCGAAAGTGACCTGAGTGAGGAGAAGTGTAAGGTCTCCTTGGATCTCTGAACATATTGAACCACTCAGAGATGGGGACTCTCAGCTGATCTAAAATCGGTACTACGTTTTCACTAGCGAGTGGCAGGTGTTACTATTTAATTGTCACAATGCAGACAAAAGAAACCAATGTAACTGTTTTAGTATAGATATTTGATTAAAATAAGTATTGTGTTGTCTTCAGTAGCCGTAACTTGCAAGGATGACTGAAATGCGAAACTTCACTTGGGCGGTGGAAGATATTTTCAAGGAAACCTTCCTCACTTACATGAATGGCTGGAGGAAAAACATGACAGAAGCGGCGAATAGATTGCAAGCCAAGGTTGATGCTGAAAACTTTGACTATGTTATCCTTTATTTGATGGTGATGATTGGGATGTTCTCCTTCATTATTGTGGCGATCTTGGTGAGTACTGTGAAATCAAAGAGGCGAGAGCACTCCCATGACCCCTATCATCAGTACATCGTTGAGGACTGGGGTGAGAAGTATAAAAGCCAGGTTCTGAATCGAGAAGACCTCAAGTGTGTGATCCACGAAAACTTGGGTGCAAGGGACAAAGGAAGCCCTGGATCACCTTAAGTTTTTGGAAATACCAGCAATGAGGAAATCATAAAGGCACGTGCAGGGAACTCACTGGAATTACAAATGGCTGTCAAACTGTTCATTAAATTAACAGACAGGTCAATGTGTAATGGAGTGCTGAGGAAATCAACATTACTGTTTCCCATGAGGACTTTGGCATAGCTGGTCAGGGAACATCCAGGAAAAATGTGTTATGCTTTGATGTTCTGTTCTTCAGGAAAATAAACCCAAGAGAATTAATAACTTCATTTCTTTTTAGAATTTTTTAAATCCAGAAGCAGATCTGGATGTTCCCACCTTAGAATAACTGTGAATTAGTGGTCAAAAATGCTGATTTAGATCCAAACTATATGATTTAAGCCCATCTTAAAAATAACTTGAAAATGTACACTAAAATATCAAAATATCCATCTATTGGCTGAACAATGTGTTATGGTATGAATCACAGGAGCTAACCTATACCTACACACATTCATTCCAAACTATTTTTTTAATTATCTGCCTCCCATTTTGATTTCATTATTCATTGCCAACAAAGATCTACTCATGGCCTTTTGACAAAGCCTGTTTTATAGCAGAAAAGCTGCTAAAATAATGTAGCAGTCTCATCTAGGAGCACATCCTGGCTGCCCAGCGCAGCTTCCAGAGGTTCAGCTGCTCAGTCTGTCTCTTCTGCTGCTCCTTGGTTCTCCAGAGCAATCTAACTGGGATGCAAGCTGGGTGATGGAGGAGCTGGTTACATCCCATCAGCCAGGGCTCAGTAAACCACTGAGATCCTGTCTTAATGGCCTTAAGAGGCCTTTTCGTGCCTCCTAAGTGTTTCCCATGTTGGGTACTGGCTTCCACTGGCTGGGAAATGGGTTTGCAAGATGGTTTATCTTCTCCTGTGCTGCTGAAGTATCACAACACTGGCTCTCTGCAAATAATTACAAGCAGAACTGGTGACACTTGTAGTATTAAAACGTGCTTCCTTTTCTAAGACTCTGGGTTTAGCTCCCATTCATGTTGCCACACTATAATCGCTTAAGCTAAAAGTTCCCATGCTGGCTGTCTATCGTGTGGGCTTGTTGTTTATTTTGAGAAAGTTTTGGCTGAAACACTTCAACCATGTCTGGCACTGCATTTCCAACAATTTTGTTTTTGCTCGTGTTAAAAAGAAATGAAAAAGCAAAGGGCTTCTTTTGTTGGGAAGCTCTGGCTTGTTTTGGAGGCTGCTCTTGAGATTTGGCACAGCAGCGACTGTCATGCTCCAGATGTGCCTTTTGCTGGCACAGTAATAAGCCTTTGGATAATCTCAGTCCGTGAGCACTGGGGAAGGCTTGTCAGGACCCAGCACGGCCATCTGCTGAGCTTCTCCCCATCCAGCGTCTCCCTTTTCCCCCCACCTCCCCGGGTGGGCTGTGAGTGCCTGCCGGCGCCCAGGCTCTGGCCATGGGTGTGCTCCGCACCCAAGCTGCATGACTCCCCTCACCCTCAGGGACCACCGGATGCTCCAGCACCAGTACTGTGCTGCACGGAGCGGCTGGTGGGACCCTGGGACCACCTGGGCTATGCTACGCTCAGGGAGAGCCCCTTTTGGCAAGGGATGCCCCTGGAGAACTTGCCCAGGTGGACCAGCCTCCCCAGCAGCTGAGCGAGCCCCTCGGGCCCCGCTCCCCACCATCACCGAGTGGCAGCTTCTGCCTCTGGCCTGGCCCTGCTGCTGCTGGTGGGCAGGCAGCTGCGAGGCAACGGAACGCTTTGCTCTCGGACCAACACCCCTGGGGCATGTGGGAATTGCCTTACCTCAGAATAATTATTTAGTTTTTTTTAAGAGTCACATAATCATAGAATGGTTTGGGTTGGAAGGGACCTTAGAGATCATCAAGTTCCAACCCTCCTACCATGGGCAGGGACACCTCCCACCAGAGCAGGTTGCTCAAAGCCCCATCCAGCCTGGCCTTGAACAGCTCCAGGGATGGGGCATCCACAGCTTCTTGGGCAACCTGTTCCAGGGTCTCACCACCCTCTCAGTAAAGAATTGCTTCATAATATCTTAGCTAAATCTCCCCTCTTTCAGTTTAAATACGTTACTCCTCATCCTATTGCTACACTCCCTGACAAAGAGTCCCCCCCCATCTCTCCTGTAGGCCCTTCAGGTACTGTAAGGCCACTCTAAGGTCTCCCTGGACCCTTCTCTTCTCCAGGCTGAACAACCCCAGCTCTCTCAGCCTGTTTCCCCAGGAGAGGTGCTCCATCCCTCTGAGCATCTCTGTGGCCCTCCTCTGGACTCGCTCCAACTGGTCTGTGTCCTTCCTGTGCTGAGGGCTCCAGAGCTGGACACAGTACTCCAGGAAGGCTACTTTCTCCTGCGGTCTCAGGCGGCAGCCGAGCCACGCCGGGTTTGCGGAAAGGCGCCCCGCACCGAGGCGAGGCGAGGCGGGGAGACCCGGCCGCCCCACCGGCGCCTGCCCCGCAGGGCCCCGCCGCTGCCGCTGCTGGGAGATGTAGTTTGTCGCGCCCTCCCGCCCAGAGCCATGGCCGCCCCGTGAGGTAGGAGACGCGGTTCCTAGGCCTTCCCCCGCACCTTTCCTCGGCGCGGCTGCTCGCGGCGCCGGGCTGGCGGCGGCGGCGGGGCGAGATCGGGCAGGAGCCGGGGCGGCCTCCCCTCACCCCTGCCCCCCGCCCCGGCCTGCGCTGCTGCCCGCCCTCCGGCCTACTCTGCCGCCTGCCCCCTGCCAGCCAGCTCCAGCGACCCAGGCAGCCTTCCCTTTAGCCTTCTCCCGCCCTCCTGCCTCTCCCCTGCTTCCCCTGCCTGTCCTCCTGCCCCGCTCCCTCCCTGCTCCTGACCAGCCTACCTTCCATCACCGTTCTCCTGCCCCCATTCCTTGCTCTCCAGCCTTGCCCTCCCTGCTTGCCCCCCTGCCCTCCCTGCTTGCCCCCCTGCCCAGGCCCCGTTCTCACCCTGGCACCAGCCGGGGTGCGAGGTGAGGCAGCAGCAGAAGCTCCTTGGCCATAACCTGTGGCTTCCCGGCCACCTCTGGGACGCGGGGGCGTGAGGTTTGCAAGCTGCTGGAGAGGCGCTGGCTGGCTGTAGGCCGCAGGCAGGCCCCACATCAGTTGTCTCCCAGCAAATTGCCCCAGGGTGCAACACTGGATGCCCAGGTGCCCCTGGAAAGTGTGCCTTACTGCATGTGCTTCTTCCAAGTTTTACTGTTTTCCTGAACAAAAAGTGAAGCAAGCGAGCAAGAAAGAGGGATCTGAAGTTATCATTTGTTGCAGGAAATTGGTTTTCCTCAAGTGCAGGTGTGGATCGTTGGCCATGCTGGGCACTGGTGCTGCAGGGACCCGGAGGGGTGGCTGGGGCAGAGCTGTGGTTGGGATGGAGGCAGAGGACACTACTAGCTAAGGTAGTGACTGCAAGTGAGGTCCTGCAGCTTGCAAGGACCCCAGGACATGGCTGAAATGATGCCCTGGGACCTGTGATGGAACAGTCTGATGTGCCACTGACTTTTTGGGTTTGATTTGATTGGATTTTAATCCAGGCACCACGTTTGATATATCCCATCTGCTCTCTTTTATTTTCCAGAGTTTGGAGTATGTGAGGAGCTGCCAGAGGAATCACTAGTATTTTAATTCTTGCTTCTCAGGTATGAAGATCTTGTATGGCTTTTTGGTTTTGATGTTCCTTGAGTTAGTGTTGGTTCAGGAATTTTTTTTACCAGTGACACTAGTATAAACTGAGGAATTACATGGGTCTTTTTCAGGAGTGATGTCTTGACCTACCTATACACATAGGCTGTAAATGTGCACAGGTTTGAGTGCTTCTGACTTAATGTAACTGCTACATCTTGTGGCAGTGGTTTGTGGTGGATTCTCAGTGCAGCAGCTCTGGCTCAGTTGCTTCCACCGTGTTTCTCTGTAGCTTTTGGGCTTTGCCATATTACCATGTTTTCCTATGGCCCAGTAGTATTTACTTTTTTTGAGAAGGCTTGATCCTGCCTTGGAGATGCTTAGCCTGATGTGTGACACAGTGGGTCACGTGTAGTGGTGGATTCTCCAGTGACTGTTTAGGTGGAAAACATGCATTTTGCTTCCTGAAATATGTGCATTAAAGAAATTGGCAATAGGTGGAATGATACCCCTTTTCTAGCTCAGGACATACTCAGCCATCACTCCATTTTAAATGCAGTCAAATAACCCTGGTAGCTTGCTGCTTGCCAAAGCCTTGTGGCTGGTGACTTTTATAGCTTTTCACAAAATGGATAAAATGGAGGTGCTCAGAAATCCCCAGTAGGCAAAATAATATCTTGATTCCTATTTTGTTGAGTAGATGGAGTTATTGGCAGGCCGAGTGAGACTTTCAGCCAAGACAACTCAAGTGGTCTTGGGAGTACCCAGATGGCTGTGTAGACTTTTTCTGGTGCAGGCAGGCCGGTCGATACTCTGCCGCCGCATAAGCAAACAATAGCAAGAGTGGCTGGGCTCTGATGCGGTTGCTGTGGTGGACTGGAGCTGTAATTCAGTGCCTGAGAGACCTGGATTCAATTCTGTGCTCCACCACAGACTTCCCATCCGTCTGGGGCCCAGCTCCTTACTCTGTCTGGGGTGGTCTGTGTTGCACAACACAGCATTGTGCACAGATCCTGGGGCTGGTATCAGCTGAAGTCTAGCCCTAGGACTTGGTGCAGCCCTCCCTGGGAGCTCTTTAGCCCTGCTGAGGACACAAGCCTCTAGGGCTGCGCTGGGGACTCCGTCTGCCTGCTTTTGACCCAAAAGACCTCACAGCATGTGGAGCTAGCGGGGGATTGCTAGTACAGCGCAGAGGCGTGCAGTATGGGCAGGCCCTCTCTTCCCTTTCCTGTCTGTGGCTGTTTGATCTGCTTCACGGAGGGGTCTGAGTGTAAATAGCTCAGTGATTGTGAGCTACAATCCCAGTGAAGAAGGCCACCCATACGTGTGAGAGTGTTATTACTTCATCCCTGCCCTGCATAGGAGTGTACGAGTGTGTGATTAGCGTCTGTCACGGAGTCTCCAGGGATTCACACAGAGCCTAGTGCTCCTCTTTCTCTTTCACGTGCCTCAACACAAGACCTCCTTGCTAGTGACAGAAGGTAATAGTGACCTTCTGTGGGGCCCACTCTCCGTTCCCAGTAGTGCTGTGTTTGTTAAGGGAGCTTGCATTTTACTGGGGAACGAACAATGCCTGACTGTAGATGTGTTCTGAACTCCTATCTGTGCCTTATCTGCCTCTGAAAAGGCAAACATGAAACTTCAGCTGTTTATTTGCCTTCATGCTTTTAAGATATCACAACCTTGAAAGTACAGTGTCT